TCTCTGCAGAAGTTCATATGTAATAGTGTCAGGAGCTTGAGGCGTCACTGATACTTGTGAGTGCATTGCATCACTATACACTCAGAGATATGAATTCATCAAAACATGTAAGCACACTTAATACCCTTGCAGGTAGATGCTCATGAGCAATGGCAACCAACCTACCATAGGCATATTCACTGCCAACTTCCATTGTCTACACATGCCTTAGAGCACAGAGATTTATCTACCTATTTATTATTTTTAATATCCTGCCTTTTTCCTGCAAGGAACCCAGGGTGGCTTACAGAACCTTCTTCCATTCCTCATTTTACCCTCAAAAGAACCCTGTGAGGTAGGTTAGACTGAAAGTCAGTGACTGGTCCAAAGTCACTCAGTGAGCTTTATGGTCAAGTGGGAACTAAAACCTGGATCTCCTGAGTCCCAGTCTAATACCAGTGTGGCACAGTGTTTGGAGTGTTGGATTGGGACTCAGGATATCGGGGTTCTAGTCACTACTTAGCCATGGAATTCACTGGGTAACTTTGAGCTAGTCATGTACTCTCAGCCTAACTTACTTCACAGGGTTGTCGTTGTTGTGAAGATAAATGGAAAGGAAGAAAATCTTGTAAGCCACCTTGAGTTCCTTGCAAGAGGAAGACAAGCGAGACAAAAATGTAGTGTTATTTAATATATAGCATAAATTTTCTCACTCTTATCTCAGCACTCACTTAGAACCATGAATATGTTTGCCTTTAGGGTTCAACATGTCATCAAATTTCTTTTGAGATACTGAATAAATTTTCCCCCCACTTTTACTGTAACATATGGCCTAACCTATATTTGCCCTGCTCCTATGAAGAAAACTAATTCTCCACAGGGCAACAAATTTAATACTTTTGTATTCAATACAATGATGCCCTGAACTTTCCTTAGATCTACGGTAGCTGGCTGAGGGTGAGTTATTTTATTACTAAACAGAATCCACAAACACCTAAATTTATATCAATACATTACACACCAGAGACAAGCCTCACCTTTTCCCTATTAGAAAACCAAGCAGCTGTTTATAAATCTAATGGGTTTCACTAATGGGTTTCTCAAACTAAATTCTCCATAAACAAAAGGAGTATTCCACCCCACCCTGCCCCAAACATTACTGCACTATCTAGCAATAATCCCTCAATTCAAATGTTAAAATAACAGATAGTTTAGAAGTTGCTTTGTGTATACAAAAAGTTAAGACTTTACTATGGCCAAGGTACTGAATGGATGGATGACGTTGAGAAGTTCATTTAAATTCTCAAATCTGGGGAAGTGGTGGCCACGTGTAAGCAGTATGTGTAAGCAGTATCGATAGTGTGCTAATGGAACTCAATGCATGTACAATATCAGTAACACTTGCTAGTGTGATGGATTTCCTGTTATTGATACTGAGAAACCACTGCGTTCTGCTACCGGAGGCATGGAGGATAGGTGCTGCTCAGGTGTTTGTAGACTGCAGTTCCCATCAACCCAAGCCAACAGAGACCATGGCTAATGGGAGCTGCATCCCTGTGCTAGTGCACCAATACACTGGCAATTTCTCCTCTGTGCATCCCACCCAAATGAAAGCTGAGAATTCATCAAGAACTTCTTAGTGGATTTTGCCCTTAGCCTGGTGACGCAGTTACTCACGTCATAGTTTAATCAAATCATTCCATGAGGATCTAATGAGCATATCATCACAAATTAATTAAGCAACATCATGCACATTTTTTCTGTTCTTTGGTGAAATGCTGAGAATCCTTTCCTGATTGTCTCACCAAAATGGCTGATTCATATTACCCAGAAGTGGTGAGGTAAGTGTGAGTGGCTGGTGCATCTTTACCCCTTAGGAGAGATCCATGAGTTCAATAGTCAACAGAAGCCAACAGATCACATAATGAGCCTCGTAAACCCATCCCACAAGACAAATGAGGGAAGGAAGCAAAAGAAAGTGCACGAGTCACAGGTGCTTCATTTCTTGCTTCCAGTAAAACCAGACCTTAGTTTTTATTTTACCAAGAGGTTTCCAAAAGAAATGTTTTTACAAAACCTGGGAGCATTTGGAGGCTGCTAAAAGTAGCTCTTTACTGGAATGCAAATCCCTGGGGAATACAAGTAAAAATAAGCCCACATGCTTTTTTAGCTAACTGTGTGGCCTGTACAATGTGGCATTTTTACTTGCTCCAGTTTCTCAGAGCAGTGGCAGAATAATGAAAAAGGCCTGGCTCAGCTTGCTGTCCAAACTAATCACCTCTTGCTCATTTAAAGTCCTTCTGCAATTTGTCACATATGCTTTGGTTGCCTCCTTCATCCTAATCACCCTGGCTGGAATCCAAATTACCTCATGGGATTTTTGCCTTTCCCCCCTTTTTTAAACAATAGTTACCCATGCCATGTTATAGACCATGTTTGAAAGTGACTTAAGTTTCAAAGATGGTTTGCCATGTCAAGGCAAGGCTACTATTCTAGAAATTCCAGTTTAAACTTCCCTTGTACAAACACAACTAGTGACACTGGTCTTTGCATCCTGGCCTTTATGGACAGGATCCAAAGTAGTCCTCGTACCAGCAGGAATACTCTGCTAGCAAATAGAAAGCTAGGACTTCTTAGAGCAATCAGAAACCAGCCAACACTTAGGATTTCCAGAAAGGAGCAAGTCAGTGGAGCTCACATAAGTTAGTGTGAGCGACTTGTCTGGTTCTGGAAATTGTAGTTTCAGCTAATTCTAGGGCTGCTCTTGTAAGCCATCATTCTTGCAAGCATGTGGGTGGAGAGTTACAGGCTTCTGAGGTTACGTGTCCATCCTGGGATCCCAGTTTGGTCCCTGGAGTTCCCCAGAAGGCCATGCTCCTTTGCCCTCCACCACTCCTTCCTCTCAGCCACTGCCAGTTTGATGATTTCTTGCACTTTATGCTCTCTTTTCCACATTATAAAAGGCTGAAATGCCTCTGCTAAACTACAATATGTGAGCATTTTTTTTGCATTTTACCCCACCACTTTTGCCTTCAGCCTTATCCACCACTGGGATGCCGTCTTCAGGAGCTTCTCCAAAATTAAATGTGGCTGTTCAGACCGAAAGGGATTCCCAGCCCCTGTGCTAATACAACCAAATGAATCCTGGCAGATGGACAACTTTGGATAACCTTCCTATATTTTGATTCTGTGAATTCAGGGCAATTATAACATGGCCTCTCTCCAGAAGATCTGTTTTTAGTTTGAATAATAAAAAATGGCAACAACAGTATTAATGTAGTTGTCAATAATTATTTTGCTTCCCTACAACTTCTTTGCATAATGTCTTCTAATTCTTATTACATCTCATAACAACTGTATCAAATAGTTACATTTCTTGGCTCATAACCATTAAATATGCTGTTCTCCTGGCCATTTCAATATTGCAGTGGCATCTTTGGAATCATTAGGCCAAAAAGCAAGCACACAAGAAATGGTAAATCCTCTACCTTGATATGTCATTTATCTTATCCCTTTGAGGTCACCTTGTTATGATGGGGCGCTGAACCTTTTTTGGACTGAGGGCCAAAATGCATTTCTGAGGGTCTCCCATTGCAGTGGTGGGAGGGGCCACAGGGAATAGGACTGGCTCCAAATACTGGCATATTTAGAATGAGGAAATAACCATGGAAAAGCCAAGAAACCACTGTGGTTGGTGGTGGGGGAAAGGGGTCAGGGTCAAGGTCAAGATCAGGGGAAAGGAGACATCGACATCTAGGGACCCCAGGAGAGCTGAATTTGGTTCCTGGCCCTGAAGTTCTACAACCCTGCATTTCTCTATATCCTACCTTGTAAAGTGCTTTGCATTTCAAATGGCACCATAAAATAATAAACTACGAATATGTATAGAAGACAACAAAATGGCTGGCCTTGTAAAAATGGCCCTGTTTTTAGTCAGGGTTATTTTGCTAGTCTGGCATTTTCTCACTGATATACAAAGTGAGCTATCTAGGGCCCATTCAGACTTGTTTCCTTCTAAACAGCACAGTCACCAGAGTAGTGCCAAATGAAGTACAGAGATATCCACTAAAGATGTAATTGATTCCTAAACCCTAGCAATTCAAGACCTGAAAGGGTGCAATCCTATGCATGTTCAGACCTACAATTCCCAGCACATTTCCCATCACTGGTGTCTGTAGGACTTTTTATGTCTAAAATTGCATAGAATTGCACCTTAAATGAATTAATTTTCACAAATCCTATGGAGAGCTAAGCACCAGTGCATCACATTGACTGATGCTTTCAGTGCAATATAATTAACAAAATAATTTGGTGCATACCCTGAATCTGTGTCTGTAAAGTAACAAAGAAGGATCTTAAATAACTTCCCTGTGGAAGTTCAAAGACAGATCATGGACTTCTCACTTCATGTAAAAATTGAGGTGCAATATTTGGAATCCAGACAAGCCCATGTGCCTATGCAAAGTACATTTGTGTGTGTACATGTGTGGAAAGTGTACTGTTCTTCCTGTTCAGCAGCAGTACTTTATACCTGATGGAATGCCAAGTGGAGTCCAAAGTTGCCCTGACTTTGGATGAAGCTTTTTAGGGTGTGCAGTTAAGCTTTTTTATGGTAGAAAAGGGATGACAGAGAACCATTCCCACGGATGTGCAGAAATTCTTTGGAACCTGAAGACTTCCTATAGGATACACAATATCTCCAAGTAGTCATTCAGAGGATGCATCACCTCTGGAGAATCCCTTCCCCACAGGATGCAATTTTGCAATTTCAAGGATTCAGTGCTCTCTTAATATGTACCTAAACATCACTCTTTTTCCTCATTTCTTCCTGCATGGAGGTGGGCCAGAAGCATATTTCAAAACTAGTAAAAATAATGCAACGCTATTCTCAAAATGGTGACAGGTAGTTTTACCCAGGAATTGTAGCTGCTAGTCAGAGCCAGGTGAGTAGACTAAAGAGAAAAACGTTAGATGACACAAGAAAGATCTAAAATAAAAAAGACAAGAAAAAGGTCGTATACCACATCACATTCTGTGGACTGTGCAGAAGGAACTGTAGACACTGGTTGCGTATTGGCTGGAGGCATCTTTGAAGTGTCTGCAGAAAGCCTAAGTGGATGTTGTTGGCTTTCAGGTGCTGCTTTATTACCAGAGATGGGAGCTATCTGAATGGAGAGAGATGCTTTGTGTATCTCAGGCACAGGGTTACAGGCAGGTGAGACAGGCCTCCGTGGAGTTGCTGATGCTTCAACAGGCACAGGCTGTTGCTGTGTATGACAGGGAACACTACTAGATGCATTTCGTGCCCGAGTTAATTTCAGGGCAGAAACTCTACGCTTTTGAGATTGTTGTTTGTGACCTTGATGGACAGCAGTTCTAATGCCAGCTATTGTTTTTGTGCTAGAAACCAAAGCATGTGGCTTAGTAATTTTGTGTGTGTAAGACACACTTGTGTTAGCTTTTTTAGAATACACTGTCCTCCGAAGAAAGTCCTTGTTAGTACAGTAGTCAGCATCAGAAGGAGATTTCTTAGTTTGTTTGGTTGTTAAGGACCAGGAGTTACTTTCACTCTTCTTGTGATTAGTTATTCCAGATCTACCAAAACTTTCCTTCCTAGGAGGTACTGGGGGTGCCTTATTTGCCAAAAGCATCCACGCAATGAAAAAATATTACAGGAGAAAGAGAGAAAGCAAAACATTAGCAGGAAAGTAAACTGAGTTAAGACATATCAAATAGATGCAGTGATACAAATCCAACCAAGGTAATACAAGATTTAAATCAGGCCTCAACAAACTTCAGGATTCCATGTTGGAATATTTTATTTGGAAACCCCAATTACATCAATTGACACTGCAATTCTACACATCTATATGTAGACATAATAAGCACCATTGGACTCAAGAGGACTTTCTCCCAGCTAACTTTGTATAGGATTGTACCCTTAGAAACCATTGTGGTCAGTGATGACCATTTAATATGAATAATTTTTTCCATTGATAATATTAATTCTTTTGAAAATAATCAGTAATATGGATTATCGGAACTACACTGTTCCAACTGTAGGGATAAAAAACTATTTTGATCATGCACAATTTAGATAATTGCAACCAATGGACTATTGGGACAGGAATGAACATATACTCCTTTAATGTTCTAACTGAAAATAATAGAAAGTATTTCAGATCCTTTGAAGAACTGATAGATGTTTTCAAATTATGTCAAATTTGTGAGTGGTACAATTAAATTGTGTTGCAGTCCTGTCAGAGTATAACAAAATTTTATAGGAATAAGAATCTAATTTCTTTCAATAAATACTCTTGAAATGTAAAGCTTTAAAAAAGGGCAACCACACCAGTATATATTCTAAACCCAATGAACAGTTCATAGCTGCACTTTTCTCCTTTAAAGAAATTTAGTGAGAAGCAACTGCTCTCATCCCAACCAGTTTAACATTTGTATGGGTGGTCAAAACAAAGTTTATATCACAGACTGTTATGAGTAACATTAGGAAAGCCTCTAGAAAACAACCATTTGAAGAAAATTGTCCCTATCTATTTTGAAATCAGAGTACTAAACTATAGAATTTCACATAGTGTGGGTGTACGTATCTGGCATTTTACCTGAGTTGGTGATTTCTTTTCTTGTAGATTTGGCCGGACACTCCGAAAGCCTTTTGCTGCAAGAGAGGAGCTGCTAGTGTCTCCATTCAGTGTCTCTCTACTCCCATTGTTAAATGATCTCCAAGCTTTTATATGAAAAGAAATCCAAGCAAATTTATTTCTAATGAAGAGTTGTTCTGATTATGTAACAACTGAAATGCATGTGTGTGTGTGTTTCACTGATCTGAATCTACAAAATATAGATGCTGGCGCCAAATAAAAAATCTAAGGGATAAAATGCATATGATTCAGCAACAAAGAGCAGATTCATAGTATTAACTGCAACAGAAAGACAAGCAGACATACTCTATTCAACTTGGCAGGGAACAAGCTGTAATTTGGCTCCTCCTCTCCTAGAGTGTTTCCCTGCATGGTCATCCCACTTCGTCATTAAATGTTTCTGAAACTTTATGAATGTTTTTATCCCCCACAATCACTTTCTCAACATTTCTATTAGACCTTAAGTCTGAAGGCCATGACTGATATTTTCTTTTTAGTTTTGTGCAGTGCCTAGAAGAAAGCTAGGGATGATGGTAATGATGATCGTGATGCTGATATCTCAGGAAATTAGAAGAAGCATTACTAAGTTTGTGGCTTGGCCAAAGTTTTACAAGGGAGTTGTTTTCTGTGAAACAGTAAAACTCAGAAACTATCTCTGTAAGAATCTCTTTGACTATAATTCTGTGGATAAGCTCCCTTGAACTCAATGGGATTTGTTTCTGTGTAGACATGTACAGGATTGTATTACAAATGTAATACTATGGCTACAGTGTTGACCTTGGAGTTGGGAAATCCAGATTCCAATTACTGCTGTATCATGATGCTTTACTAGCTGGCATTGGACAAGTCATTACTTCTCAGCCAGACTTTCTTCTCACCACATATGTGTGGATAAAATGAGGAGAAAAATATTTCACGCGTGTCTTGAGCTTTTGAGAAGAAAGGCAATATATAAATGCCACACCTAATACTAAAAAAATACTCAAATAAAAAAATGAGTTGTACCCAGTGGTGCTATTTCATCAGTGGAAGGAAACCACCAACAAAATGGATTTCCACCCCCCCACCGCACCACCACCCTTTGTCCCCCAGATCTGTTCTGGAGCATTAGGAGATCCTTCAGATCAGATCTGGAGTACACAGGAAGCTTCACTCACTAGGAAAGAAGTGTGAATAGATCCATTACATGAATGTACACTTCCACAAAGACTGCAACCAACCCAATATAGATAGTCACTGAGATAGTCAAACTTTCAGATGTACTTCCAGCCTTGGTGTGTATGTCATGCTACAGAGCCAGGCTCAATGTGGTATTATTAGCAAAGAAGGCCAAAAACAACTTGGAACCAGGCTACCTGAGGGACCACCTTTTTCCACTTCAACCTGCCCATTCACTGAAATCTACAGATCAGGGTCTCCTGGTTGTCCTGTTGGCCTGTACTGGAACATCTGATAGAAATCCACCTTTGGAAATCTCTCTCTGCCGCACTGTGACAGCTTCTATTTTGGTGTTGTTTCAGTGCCTGTTGAAAATGCATCTTTATCCAGGTATTTGGTGATGTTAATGTCTGGTTTATTTGTGTGTGTTTTATCTTTGTAGTTTATTCGTAATTGTTATTTTAATAACTTTTGTGCATTGCCCCATGATTTGATAATGAAGGACAATATATAAAAATTAAAGCAAACGCATAGGCTCATTTGTCATGTCTGGGATCTTTCTTATGTGCATCTGCCCACAGTCTGTTACTTCAGCGGTGCACCAGTCATGATGCAACTGGATCTGCACAGAAGATGTATTTATCTGAACCAGTTAATTGTTATAAGTGAGTTACAGGACTTCTAGCAAAAAGACAACTCTGTAGCTTATTGTTTCCCTGAATTACACTTACACTTCTATGGATTTCCTAGGTTCACAAGCAGCAACCAATGAAATGCAGTCAAGTGAAGGAAATGTAAATGTCGAGTATGCCTAATTGTTATAGAGAAAGACCAGGAAAATTCATGGTGCTGCTAATTTTGGTGACCCTGACGTGCCCCTCATTGGGCAATTAATTCAAGTTGAAACAAAATAGGTTTAGCTCATGCCAGATTCACACACACATTTGACAGCTTTTATTTTTGTATTTCAATAATGCCTGTCGTTCTTTGGATGAGAGAATGTAGTGGCCTCCAATTTTAATTCTGAAAGGAATATGCTTCAGCTATCAGATATCTGGAAAACATAGTGGCTTGGAAGGAAAGAATGAGAAACCTCAAATGCATATGCACTGCTTCATTTAGACAGCAGGATTTATAATAACTGTAGAAAACAAGTAGGGGCTCAACCCTATGCATGTTCGGAAGAAAGAAAGTCCTACAATTCCCTGCATTTTCCAGCCAGTGCAGATTACCCAAGGAAATTGGTGAAATCTGCAGACATCAAAGAGGAGATGTAAGATGACAATGGACATAGTATGGATACTTGTATAGATGCAACTTTCCACTGGTGAGACACATTATTACTCTACTTCTGGATGAGGTGTAACTTGGATAATTTTTTAGCACTTGCAGTTATAAATGATGCCCTGTTAAATTTAGCCATTACTAAACCTGTTAATTCTAGAAGTGAGTTTAATTTCCTCTGTCTCCCCTGCTACTTCCTAACTAAAAAGATATCAAGCTGTTCTTGCTTTAAATTACTGAGAAATGTTGGAATGCAATGAAAATATTATTTGGTTGGATGTCTGGATTTAAGCAAGTCTCAACAAAGACGAGTAAAAATTGACTTGTTGCCATCCATTAGCAAAAACTCAGTAAAATTTAAAAGAAAGGCTTTAGGTTATACAGAAAGATGATCTTCAATTCAAAGTTTAGACTGATCTCAGAAATAGTAAAATTTATTTAGGAAAAGAATGGGATATTTAAACAAGTTTTATTTATTCCACACACAAGCAATACTATAATGTTTAGCCTTAAAAAATCTTATTTACCTGAATCTGGAGACTGGGAATCAAGTCCTAGAAAGCAAAAAACATTACAGTGAGCATGTGATCGGTTCAGCTAGCATGTTTAATATATGCATATATCTGTGATCTTCAGGGCAATTTACTTACCAAAAATAATTGCTATGCATGCTTTGAAGTTAACTGCACTAGCATGCCGCTGCTGCTAGGTAACTCTTTTCCCTAAAACTTCTCAGAGAGCATGTGCTGGTGGCCAGTACAGAAATTAAATAAGTAATATAATAAAATAAACAAAGCCTTCAATGTTACTTCGAGAGCAGGCTTCAGGATAATTCAGTAGAATGTACTTCAAAATAAATATACACAGGGTCAGGCTGGATGGCCCATTCTGCTTTCCTTGTTTGGCCAAAACACACCTGACACTGATGAACAGAGCTCAACAGTTTGTGACCCAGAATATCAGCAAGTCAGCCCAACACAAGGACATTTTTATTCCCATTTTAGACTGGCCTAGCTTGGACATAGCACTAAACCATAGATTAGCACTACAGGAATGAGTCTGGGGCTTACGCCCCACAACACACATGCAAAGCAATTGGAAATATGCTTAAAACTGAACTAGAGTTGGTTATGGTCAACAAGGACAAACTGTGTTTAGTTTAAACTATGGTTTATTAAAGGGTAAAATCATAAACTACACTTTGATACTCACTTGTTTAAAAAAAACCCCATATTTTAAACTGAACACATTTCTTCCTGTCAGACCTAACAACCAAAGGTGTTTAGTTAAATAACAGAAGTTGATGCTTCCAATCTCTTTTGCCTGGTTTCACTGGAATGAGAAAAGGAGGTATGCATGAACCTTAGGTTCACAAAACTTCATTTCCATCGTGCTAAACAACTGTTTAAATCAGTCCACGATGTATACTTAACTGTAGAGGAACATGCAGGTGACAGTAAGAATCAACGATCTCTAAGACTGCATTTTACACTGCTGTACCACTAACCAATGTTATCTTGTAGGGATCACCAAGTAGTTATAAAAGCCAGTCCAGGGGTTGAGCAGATGTCCCATGTGGAGAAGTATTGCCAGCTGCTTATTCTGCCTTTCTCTCTGTTCCTGAAGCACTGTTTACTTTTGCCAGACTGCTTAACATGAGGCCTAAGAAGCAGTCACTGAGACAGTCTTTAGAAACAGTTGCAGCTAACATAATCTCTATCTCTTTGAGGACTGTTGCAGTCACCATAGGGTTGTATTCAGTGCTAGAGCAGATCCAATGAAATGGGATTTAAGTTAGACTAAACAAGGATACAGTGCATACCCTCTGCCATGACAGAGGTGCAACATCAATTACTCCCACCTTGCTCCTTTCTCCCATTCTGATCATATATGCACCCTCCCCACCTGCTGTTGGGGCATCATGAAAGTCTTGTGTGTATAAGAATATGCACATAGCCAAAATGGACTAAATGAAAAGCTGAATATGAAAAACTGTGGCTATTTGGCCATTTGCAATCAAAAATATTTTAAGAGACTAGATGGCTTAATAAACTGGGGCCTGATGCCCAGGTCCAAGTGATTTACTGCGATGTGCAATCTTCCTATGCAGAAAGGTTGGTAGAAATTCCTCTTCTCATGATAGTTCATTTTATTTATTTATTTATTAAAACATTTTTATGCTGCCCCATTCGCTGAAGCCTCGGGGCGGCTCACATCATGGAGAAGTCATGGTAGGAATAAGCAGATGCTTGAACAGGAAGACGTGGTAGGACTAGAAATAAATGTAGACATGTCTCGTGCTCACAGACTGCTTTTATGCACATCTGTCCTCCTAGATTCTCTGGTTCTCAAACAGCAGTGTGAAAATACGATGAGATGTACAAAGGACTGCGCACCTAGGGAACATTTCAACAGGGCACAAGACGGCAGATGTTTCCTGACATCCCACCTTGTTTTTGTTCACAGTGATTATATGTGAGCCCTGCTTAGTGGACCACTTTGAACTTTTAAACGAAGAAGCATGTATTAAAAATGACAACAACACCTCATTAAAGGACCTGGAAAACTAACCACTTGCTGCCATACATTAATGTATTGTGTGGTTTTTTTTCTCTCTTGCAATGCTTTGCGTTTGAAACACAATGCACCTTTCTTCTTAGGGAAGCTTGTTTAGCTAACTTGTTCAGGAAACTGGTTAAAATGCTTTTGAGTAGGAAAATGTTAGAATAGGAGTGGATAAATTCAGGTGGTCTGGGGCAAATCCCATACTCCTAGCCCATGCAGGACCAAACTCCCCCCACATCTTGACAAACTAAATTTGTCCTTCTTAATCCTCTGCAGTTATTTTCTACTGAATTTTGGCAATAAAGAATTACTGCTGACTTGCTGTTCAATTTTGCTGGCAAGGCAGTAGCCACAGGGGCCATGCACAGACTGTATGTTTCCCTTTTCTGTACTGGAAGGCCATGGCTGATGTGTTTAGAATTCAGGCATACTTTATGATTTACTGGTGTGTGTGTGTGTGTGTGTGTGTGTGTGTGTTAACTTTGGAGATTGTTGTAAATGTTAGCTCTGTATTTTATCATCTTGTACTGTATTTTTCCTATGATATTTTTATTAGTTTGCAAACTACCATTTATTACCTTTGGATCAACTGGAATATAATTTCCAATATATAAATATATACCTTCCTCTTAGTCTAATTGACCCCTAGTCTAATAGTTCCCCTATACTCTACACTGGTCAGACCTCATTTAGAATACTGTGTCCAGTTGTGGGCACCAAAATTTAAGGAAGATGCAGAAAAATTGGAAAAGGTTCAGAGGAGGGCAACAAAAAGCATCCAGGCTTTGGGTATGTTCCCCTATGAGGAAAGACTGAGAGAACTGGGGATGTTCAGCCTTGAGAACAGAAGACTGAGGGGGAGACATGATATCAATCTGTAAGTACCTGAAAGAAGGTCAAGATCTCTTCTTGCTCATACCAGAGTCTAGGGCATGGAATAATCAACTCAAGTTATGACAAACCAGATTCAGTCTAGATATTAGGAAAAGTTTTCTAACTTTCAGAGCAATACGACAGTGGAACCAGTTGCCTAGAGAGGTGGTGGGCTCTTCCACACTAGAAACATTCAAAAAGAAACTGGACTGTCATCTGAGTGGGATGGTGTAAATTGGTTTTCTGCAACAGCAGGAGGTTGGGCCTGATGGCCTTCTTGGCCCCTTCCAACTCTGCTATTCTATGATTCTATAAGCCACAGCCACAACAGAAAACAAACAAACAAAAGAATGATTCTGTTTGCATTTTAGCATATTATAGTTTTATTGGGGTTTATTCCACACCTGTTAAGGTGTGCTTGTTATAGAATATCTGGTCAAAACACTGAGTGATTATTTGTGTTTGGGAGAGATTAGTGAAAAACTAAGGGAACAGTGAAGCAAGTCATCCAGAGGTTAGTCTGTTGTCAGTAGCAATATTTATTGATAAGATCCTCCCCAAAAATGTAAACCTTTGCCTTGGTCCCTTTCTTCACACAGACAGAATGAAAATCCTTTCCCAAAATTAGTCTTTGATTTAGTATACAAATATGCTTTATGGTGAAAGTTGTAGATCACTTTAGCTCTTTTAAGGTAGTTACATTTTGTTATATTTGAAAACAGCATGGAAAAATGTATTTACCCTTTCTGTATATCCTGTTGCATGCCTAGAAAATAGCTATATAACCTGCATTGATTAACTGGAATTACATTTCCCTTCTTCTCTCTGTGCTCAACTCAGGAGACTGCAGCAGAGGTAAATAAGTGCTTACAGCTCTGATATATCACATGTTCTGAAGAAAAAATTCAGTCAGTTAATGTAACTGTTGCATTTTGTTTTACTCTGATCACTGCTTTATTAGAATGAGAGTAAAAATAAAGGATGCTGTTCTTCCTTTTAATGGATGTCATTTTACACAGCTGTTTTACACAGCTACTGCAATATAAAATGTAAATACAGATGTTTCTTAAAGAGTCATTTTAAGTGTAAAATCAACACCAATGGTAGTAACTGGCAATTTATTGAGATCGGTTTCTCTTTCAGAGATTTGTGAAGATATGTTAGATTATTCATATAATTAAGCTGTATACTACAGGAGTGTTACGGCTGCTGTAATCAACATTCTTTCCTTACTTCCATGAGTTACTTTCAAATGCAGATTCTTTTAAAAGCTTCTCTTTCATGTTAATAGCAATATGGACTTCTTAAACCTTTAAGAAAGACATGAGTCTTATCATTTTGCCATTGCAAACGTTTAGAACTGAGAGCTGCATTTTCCAGCTTGACAGTTTCCATGGCAAAACTTATCCAAGGGTGAAATTTAAAGGCCAAACCCACATCAATTTCTATAATCTGGTTTGTGTGTTCTAACAAGCAATGGGAAGACTTTTTAACCCAGCATTCTAAAGGGCACTCCAATTACAACAAATGCTACATTGCTTCCAGTTTGGTCCTTAAGTATGAAAACCATTTCCTATAAAAATGTGGTCAAATGTTCATATATAATGCAATATCCTGTTAAGCTTAATGGGACACTTACATTGTTGTTTTAGAGAGAATATTATAGTGGCTCTTTCTTTCACTTTTCTTTTTTTGCCAAGGAGTTTAAAACAGTTTCTTTCTGGCTGAGCAAACCAGTGATAAAATAGAAAAAGTAAAGGCAGTATTCTATTTCATCATACAGCCAGCTCTCCTATCCTTTTTGGGTGTGCTCCTTGTCTTGGTATGCTTGCCCCAAAAGTAGCTTAGTCTGACTAAATATTGCTATGCCCTTGTTTGTACATGGCCAATGGTAAGGATACACAGTGGTGTGGCTTAGTGTTCCTCTTCTGTCCAGCACCCTTCACACAGAGAACATTTGAGCTGGGCCTCTAGCTCATGCCTGATTATGGATCCTGCTCTCATGATCTCTCTCCCTCAAAGGGGTAATGCGGCAAATAAACATGAATCTCATGGATCGGCCTGGAGGCCTTGGGCTACCTTCCAGTTCCTCCACAGTGTAAGGGTCACCACACAT